TGATGTGAGAGTGAGAGAGAGAGAGGGAGACATTGATGTGAGAGAGGCACATCAGCTGGTTGCCCCGGCACGCATCCCAACCAGGGACAGGGATGGAGCCTGCAACCAAGGTGCGTGCCCTTGGCTGGAATCAAACCGGGGCCCCTTCAGTCCGGGTGCCAACACTCTAACCACGGAGCACACTGGCCAGGACACTATGAGGCACTTTGAAGTCTTGTACTTAACTATGCACTGACCCAGAGGCCCTGCGTGGCTCAGATTGGCGAGGTTCCTCTCAAGGGCCGATGAGGAGTGTCCTGGGCTCACCTGCACACCCTTTACCCGCCTCCCCCCTCCTCCCCCGTCTTGTGACCACTGTCTCTTCCTTCCAGTGCCAGGACTACCAGGGCGGCCGCCTGGCGGGTGACCTCTGCGAGGACCTGTGTGTGGCGGGGACGCTGAGGTACCGGCGTTGTCTGTACTATGAGGGGGGCAAGAAGGTGCTGCGGGCGGACTGGCGCGGCCGCCCCGTCATCCTCAAGTCCAAGGAGGAGGCCTTCACCAGCTTCCAGCCGCCTGGCCTACTGGAGGACCCGGCCGGGGACGGGGGACAGGGCCTCCCCGAGGCAGAGCTGCTCCTGCTGGTGGCCGGGGAGGCCAGAAGCGCCCTGGGCCTGGAGCCCATGGGCAGCCTGGGACCGCTGTGGCCGGGGCGCCCGGGTGCGCACCGTCGGGGCCAGCTGGCCAGCCTGTGGTCACTGGCACAGCAGGAGGAGTTCGTGCTGCTCAGCTCCCTGCGTGGGCTCAGCCCGCATGCCCTGCCTGTGCTGGGCTCCTGCGGCCACTTCTACGCCGTGGAGTACCTGGCGGCCGGCAGCCCCCAGCACCGGGCGCTCTTCCCCCTGGACGGGGCCTCGCGGGGCCAGGCCCAGGCCGTGGGTGACATGGCGCTCAGCTTCCTGGACCTGGTGAGACATTTCGACAATGACTTCTCCCACCCCCTCCACCTGTGCGACGTCAAGCCCGAGAACTTCGGCATCCGGAGGGACTTCACGGTGAGTGTCCCTGGGTGGATGGATGTGCCACGTCCAGGAGGAAGGGTTGGGTCCGAGGGTTGGAAATGAGAGTGTTTCTGAAGTCCCGGGACACACGGTAATGTCACACAGCCGCGTAGTCTGGACAACCCCGCCCAGCCCAAGCTGCTGTGAGAATTCAAAGGACAGGGGCTCCTCACCCCACCCCCGGAGCAGGGGTTATAACTAAAGGCTGGACAGCAGGAGCCCAGGGCCCGAGAGGCATGTCCTCCCCAGGGCAGTTCTGGGTCCGGTTTCTCGGGGAAAGCAAACTCTTGCTGACGGCAGAAGGCAGCGTTGAGGGGCCACGGAGGACGAGGGGGATGGCCTTGGGGACCTTCGTCAACGTAAGAAACATTCAAACCTGTAGAGAATTTTTACGAGTTTATTTGAGCCAAACTGTCAGCAGTTTCTGGGAAGCAAACCCTCAATGGATTGAGATAGTGCTCCAGAGAATGGCAGTTGTACACCTTTTATTTTTTATTATTTATTATTATTTTTAAAAGATATCTATATTGATTTCAGAGAGAGGAAGGGAGAGGGAGAGAGAGATAGAAACATCAATGATGACAGTCATTGATCAACTGCCTCCTGCACGATCCCTGCTGGGAATCGAGCCCCAACCCGGGCATGTGCCCTGAGCAGGAATCGAACCTCGATCTCCTGGATCCTAGGTCGATGCTCAACCGCTGAGCCATGCTGGCCGGGCAGTTATGCACCTTTTAAAAAATACATTACAATCAAAAGAGAAGATATAAGTGGGTTACATGAAATCCATTGGTGACAGATGAGGGGGGCGGGAGAAGGCAAAGCGGGGAAGCCTCTGGGGTTGGATGGACACGCACTTCTTTTACACAGGTGGGTGCAGGATAGTTAACGGTCCACAGTTAACACAGTAACGATGGGATCTGTGGTCTCTGCAGAGGGTGCCTGTGCTTTAAGGGGTCTGGAAAAAGGAAATTACTTGGACATCCCAAAGGTATGTTATCCTAGGTGCAAAAACACAACAGACAGGCTCAGTTAAGGTGAAGATTGACTTTTATTGGGAAGATGCCGGCCTAGGACATGACCACCCGCCATGAACTGCTTTTAGTTAGAGTTTTAATGTCAGACCATCCTGTGTGGTTACGTTAGGTCTCTGAGTTTGTGAGGTGGCTCCAGGCAGGAAGAATTTTAGGATTCTCCCCATACAATGTGAGAACACCCCCTTGCAGGTCTTCTGATTTGTTGGGTCCCCGTTTCTATTTTGGGCATTTATAGCTTTGCTCACAGTGGCTGTGATCCATCCTAGCCCATGCACAAAAATTAAAAAATGACTCTGGCTCCCCTGGGAGACAAGAAGGGAACCATCCATAACGGTAGAGAGAGAAACTGCAAGGAGCTGAAATTCCATCTGGGGGCCCAGGGGAGGCTGGGGGGATGGCCAGAAACTGTAGGAAAAAGAGAAGGGCCTGCAGCCCCAGTAACGCACTAGAAGGGCAATAGGTCGTTAGCACAGCCTAATACCTTCTCAGTCTATTACCCAGTGCATATGAAGGGAGCTATTTCTTTTGGCTAAATAATGAGACGGGAGAAGCTGATTAAGATGATAACTTCTGTTTGCTGTGCCTGAATTAGTAATTAGGCAAAGCTCTTAACGGAGAAATTTCCCTGCTCTTTTTTCATCCTTCCCCCCAAATCTGAATAAATTATTTCCCCCCCTCCGTTTCGCTGAATACTCCCCGAGAAGCTTAAGTGCCTTCCGGCATCAATCCCGAGCAAGAAACAGAGACAAATGAGCCCTTTCCTGAGACGCTACCAAGGGGAGAAGGGACGGGTGACGTCGACCTGTGGAGGCTTGTGAGATGCCACAGACCCCCTCAGATTCATCACCTCTTCTAATAGCTTTTTAATACCTTGGAGCTATAACCTGCTTGACTTGGGCCGACTCCAGGCTTCCTCAGGTTAGAGCGCATCTTTTCTGCTTTAAATTCAGGTGGTGGAGGGAAACCAGGGTGACTTACACACTAGTCTTGTTCTGATCTTGACGCCTCTTTGGTTTGAAGCCAAGAAGAGAAATCTGAGGTTCCAGGGGTCCCAGTGCTCACGCTGACGATGGGGCGTGGAGCCCGACTATACGGGATCAGGCTCCAATTCTAGAACTTGGATGCTGTCGTGTCCCCCGACGTGTCCATCGGGCCAGCTGGTTGCAAACCAGCTGCCTCAGGTGACGGAGGTGCCCTAGGAAGACGACTTGGGCACCGTCCGCCTGGTTTTCGCCTTCGCACCCACAGACCTGCCTCCTGGACGCAGTTTCCTTTACCCGCTTATGCTCACGGGGGCGGATGATCGGCCTCCCGCTGCTGCGTAATCCTGACCCTTGAAAGACGGGCACCAAAACGGTAAAACAAAGAGGGGGAGTCCATTTTTGTTTTGTTAACGGTCACCCGAGGATATTTTTTGCATTGATTTTTAGAGAGAGTGGGAGGGAGGGGGAGAGAGAGAGACAGAGACAGAGAAACATCAATGTGAGAGAGACATGTCGATTGGCTGCCTCCCTCACGAGCCCCAACCAGGGCTGGGAATCGAACCCGAGACCCTTTGGTGTGGGGGCTGATGCTCCAACCACTGAGCCACACCAGCCAAGGCAATTCATTTTTAAGACACGTCAGAGATGCTACTTTTAAGGCTGAGAAACGTTTAGAGATGAAAAGGGCTGCTTCCCTTATGGTCCCGAATCCTGGGCTTTCGCCGGTGACAGCAGGGGTCCTTCCGCAGTGAAAGCCCCGTGATGATGACCTGTGCCTGCTGCTTGTGCAGCACAGTCCGAGTTTCCCAGCGTGGCCTGGGCGTGACCACTGGCTGCAGAGCCCTGTGACCCAGCCCCTGTGACACCTGTTTCCGCACCCTGGACGGAGGCCCTGCGCAGGCTCCCTCGGCGCCGAGCCGGTGCCCCTCCGTTACCCGGTGCTGTTTGGTTACAGGTGGTGGCTATCGACGTGGACATGGCCTTTTTTGAACCTAAAATGAGGGAAATCCTTGAGCAGAATTGCACAGGGGATGAAGACTGCAATTTCTTTGACTGTTTTTCAAAGTGTGATTTGCGAGTCAACAAGTGTGGTGCACAGAGAGTCAACAGCAACCTGCAGGTGAGTGGAGGTGACACTGCTCCCTGGTTCCTCCACCCACTGGGGCTGCAGCACCCCGGAAACGCAGATGGTCACCCTCCCTGTGCCACCTGGGCCTGATGTGGGCTGTGGGGGCAGGGTCAGTGGGAGGTGGGTGGTCATTCTTTGTTGTCTGCCCCATGAGATTGTTGGCCAGGTGACACCATGGGGTCCAACAGATGCAGCTCCCAGCAAAGCCAGCTTGGGTCCCCCTGACCCCAGCTATAGGGGCTGCAATAGCTGTTCTCTCTGGGTCTACTTTCTGCATCTACACACACACACTCACACTCAGAACGAGTTTAAGAATGAAAAGAGTACAAAGCAGTCCCAAAAAACTGGGCAACTAGAGGTGCGTCCACAGTCCAGACAGGCGAGATGTCAGGCCAGCAGGTGGGTAATAGAAGGAGAGAGAACTCGTGTCCCACGTCCAGGAGTCAGTGATCAGCAGGAATCGATGCTGGTCCAGGCTTCCAGATCAGTCTAGAGTCAGGGAGGCCCCAAAGGCAGGCTCCATACCCCTCAGAGGGAACACTCTCTCTTTTTTGGGCAGAAGTTACCTGCCCTCGGCCCTCACCTGAGGCCCACCCTGTATATAAAGGACTCTTACTGATCCATTAAGAGGCAAGTGGGTGCTCAAAACACAGAAAACCAGCGATGTGGTGGCAGAGCCGGTGGCTGTCCTCACACCCACCGAGGGGCTGCTTCTTACGCGGCGGTTACTGCCTGTGACTTCCTGCTTCCTTTGTCCTCGGAAATGCACTCAGTCCTTTGTGACGTGTCACCCAGAACTTCCCCACCTGCCCTGAGGCCAGAAGTGGACTTTACCTGACACGAGGGAACTTCTCCCTGATGTGGTTATTCGTGGGGCTGAGCGTTTAAGTTCCAGAAGGGAAGGCACCTGCTGGAGTCCACAGGTGTCTGCAGGAGCCTCCCAAAGGCCCCTGTGGTGGGGGGGGGCCAGAGCTGAGGTCTGTAGAAGGACCCTGGCAGGCTTGGGGCTCCCAGGGGATCCGCTGCCCCAAATGAACGTCTCACTGTCCTTCCCTCAGGTCGTCTGTGACAAAATCTTCCGACACTGGTTCCCCTCCGCTCTCCAGGGCTCTGCCATTTCCTCCCGGCTCCAGCGACAATTGCGGGAGGCTGTGCAGGAGTGTGCAGACCTGGGCAGCCCCCCAAGAGCAGCCCCCACCATGTTCTGGAAGCTTCGGGGCCTCCTCCAAGCTGCACTGAGGGAACTGCGGGCGGCGGAGGAGTAGCCACTGCCGGACTTTCAGACACTCGCTCGGGAGAGGTGGCTTCTGCGTAGCTTTAAGAGGAGATCTTGTCACCGTGCCAGTGGATGGTCCCTGAGGTGCTGTGGCTCCCAAGGCGCAAGGCCACCCACCACCGTCTCCATCAAGCACCCGCTGCTGTGACCTGCGCCTCCTTCTGTCCCGTCCCGGCCTGAGTCCTCATTGGAGAGACCATCCTGGCCTCTGACCATCACCCTGGAACGTGACATGGGGGCGGTGGGCACAGTGTTTGCTGCTGGAGGGCCCTGCGCCCCGACACAGCACAGGCCCCTCCATGCAGGGGCCGTCGGGACGGCGCTGTGCTCGGAACAGTTTCCAGCTGTTCTCGCTGCAGGTGGTGGCCGTGTAAAAATGCACGTGTGCAGAGGTGTGAGCATGTGTGCAACTAAGCGGGTGTGTGGGCAGGTGTGAGGTGAGAGTTGGTGAGTGAGCAGGTGAGTGTATAAGGTGTGTGAGGTGTGAGCAGTTGAGTGTGAGCAGGCGAGTGAGCAGGCGAGTGAGCAGGCGAGTGTGAGCAGGCGAGTGTGAGCAGGCGAGTGAGCAGGTGAGTGTGAGCAGGCGAGTGAGGTGAGTGTGAGGTGAGTGAGCAGGTGAGTGAGCAGGCGAGTGAGCAGGTGAGTGTGAGCAGGCGAGTGAGCAGGTGAGTGTGAGCAGGCGAGTGAGCAGGCGAGTGAGCAGGTGTGAGCAGGCGAGTGTGAGGTGAGTGAGCAGGCGAGTGAGCAGGTGAGTGTGAGCAGGCGAGTGAGGTGAGTGAGCAGGTGAGTGAGCAGGTGAGTGTGAGGTGAGCAGGTGAATGAGCAGGTGAGTGAGCAGGTGAGTGAGCAGGTGAGTGTGAGCAGGCGAGTGAGCAGGCGAGTGTGAGCAGGCGAGTGTGAGCAGGCGAGTGTGAGCAGGCGAGTGAGCAGGTGTGCGCTGCAGGACGGGGAAGGTGGCGTCTCCGCTGTGCCCTCTGGGGCCGCTGGCCAAGCCGGGAGAGCTCCTTTCCTTTGGCTTAAACGCAGTCGGGACGCAGCCGCCCTGTCGGGGAGCGAGTGAGGGTGGCTCGTGCTGACGGTGGTGAGGGCCCCAGGCTCTACGGGCTGTTGTGGGGAGCACTGGGCCCGAGCGCAGTCTGTCTTCCTGGGGGGCTGCTCTTGTAGTGACACACCCCACGCCAGTCCTCTGCCCCTGCCCCCCCGAGATCCAGACAGAGGGGAGCGGCCTGCTCGTGTTGCACCCATTTCCCAGGTCAGCGCCTCTACTTGCGTGGGCAGAGACCNAGCAGGTGAGTGAGCAGGTGAGTGTGAGGTGAGCAGGTGAATGAGCAGGTGAGTGAGCAGGTGAGTGAGCAGGTGAGTGTGAGCAGGCGAGTGAGCAGGCGAGTGTGAGCAGGCGAGTGTGAGCAGGCGAGTGAGCAGGTGAGTGTGAGCAGGTGAGTGTGAGCAGGCGAGTGTGAGCAGGCGAGTGTGAGCAGGCGAGTGAGCAGGTGTGCGCTGCAGGACGGGGAAGGTGGCGTCTCCGCTGTGCCCTCTGGGGCCGCTGGCCAAGCCGGGAGAGCTCCTTTCCTTTGGCTTAAACGCAGTCGGGACGCAGCCGCCCTGTCGGGGAGCGAGTGAGGGTGGCTCGTGCTGACGGTGGTGAGGGCCCCAGGCTCTACGGGCTGTTGTGGGGAGCACTGGGCCCGAGCGCAGTCTGTCTTCCTGGGGGGCTGCTCTTGTAGTGACACACCCCACGCCAGTCCTCTGCCCCTGCCCCCCCGAGATCCAGACAGAGGGGAGCGGCCTGCTCGTGTTGCACCCATTTCCCAGGTCAGCGCCTCTACTTGCGTGGGCAGAGACCACGGCAAGTCCAGCGGCTCGAGGTCCCGGGACGCCCAAGCGGGGTCCGAAGGCCCAGAGTCTCCTGCCAGGCCACTCGCCACCACCAGGGCCCCGTCTCACCGACTGAAGTTCATAAAGGGGCCCGTCGTGGTAAATACGAACGCCTCCCCCTGCATTTGTGCTCCTTGCAGGGAGGAAAGGCCCTTCGGTCACTCTGGGGCAGGAGGACATGAAAACTAACGTTGGACTCTGCAGAGGACAGAACTGGCTGCGCGCGGGAGCAGAAGCGAGGCTCGGCGTGCCCAGGGCCTCCACGGGCCTCGCGGGCCTCCGGTTGGGGGCTCTCGACGAACGAAAGGTTTCCGTGAACTCGGGTGGGGACAGAGGGCCAGGGAGGGAGGGACGCTGGGCTTTGTGGTCTGCGGGCTGTGGCATCGTGAGGGCGGATGGGTCTCAGGCGGTGACCAGGAAGGACAGCCGACCTCAGCGCTGGCCCGAGCTCCCGGCTGGGCAGCAGGGCCGGGCCCGGAAAGGGAAGAGGTTTGTTCTCCTTCCTACCAAAATGGAAACAAATGTTCATCGTGGAAACTATGCAATATGTAATTACCCTGCCCAGCGTTAGCCCTTTCCCCTGGCATCTGACCTGTCTCTGCCTCACACACGCGCGCCCCTTCCCCGCCCGCCTGCAGAACGGCATTTACTGAAGCGTCTCTTGAACTATCCATGGTAAAGTTCAGTTTTATTTTAAATTTCAAACCCTTGCAAAATACTACTTTCATACGTTACCATAAACAGACAGGGTTGTGCCAGTATTTAAAGTCGTGCATGTGACACGCGAGCGCGTCTCCTGCTTACCTGGTGAGCGGCCGCCCTGCTGGTTGGGGAAAATCCTGGCCTCAACGACTTCTATGTTTTGTTTTAAAACATGCACGGTGGACAGGACACTCTCAGAGCTGTGCGCACGGGAATCGGGGGGTGATCAGAAAGTGGGTTCCGCAAGCACAGGCCATGTCTTTCTCGGGTGCACCCGAATTCAAGCAAGCGGTGCTCAGTCACCTCCGCTCCCTCATCCAGCGTCAGTGTTCAGTTTATCTTGGTGACCGTGGGCATCGCCTTGTGTTGAAACCGTTCAGACCGCATGGCCCTGGGCTGTGGCTGACCGACATCAACTGCACAGAAAAGCAGGCAGCCGGGGCCACGGGCTGCTGACCTCGAGCTGCCTGAGCTGACCTGTACCCTGGAAGGGTGGGCGCCTGGCAAAGCCACACAGCTACCAACGTTTCTCCCCCTCCTGCCCGCCCTCATCTCCCCCGGGCACGAGCAGCAAGATCGGTCACACGGAAAACCAGAGTTCCCCACAGACCGCCGCTGTGGAATCACCCGGAATCCTCAGAATGCAGATTCCTGGGCCTAGAATCAGGGTCTTTGGGGCTGAGGCTGCCCCGCACCCTGGGGATTTTTGACGCACTCCAAAGTTTGAGAGCATTGCTCCCGAGGTCTGGCTGAGTCTGTCTTCCTTCTGTGTCTGTCATCGCCGAAGTCACACTGAACACAGCCAGCGAGACAGCACTTCTCCTCCATGGCTGGAGCGGGTTTTCCTGTGGACACTTCTGCTCCACTTTTCACTGGCGTGACCCCCTCTCCGCCCTCATTTCTGGACTGTTGGTGCCTTGATCGGGTTTTCCAGCGACGATGCCGAGAAGCTTAGAGCCCCCCCGCCCACCTCTTCCAGGCACCGCACCCGATTTTCGGGGAGCCTGAAATGCTCCATCACTGACAGGGCTCCGAGAGTCGGCCGCCCCCTGGAGACGGCATGTGGGTCCCCAGCCTCCTCTCTCAGACTCTCACTTTTGAACCCTTAGGTCTTTGCTCCCGTTTCCTGCCGTGATCACGCCTCCGTTTACCATCGCAGCCTCCTTGGGAGGTGGGGGCCGAGCCGGGAGGGCAGCCTAAGGGGCTGTGCAGCTCTGGGGCAGCTACAGATTCTCCAGGTCAGCGTCTTGGTCCATGCTCTCCCCGCTGTGGACACTCTTGCTTAACTTCTGCCGAATTCTTCATTCTGCTGCTTCCTCTGAAAATACTGGGCTGACTCACTCCAAATCCTGCAGTGATTCCCACACAGAGACCAGGAGGGGGTCCTGGGGAGTTTGGGGGGAGGGAACTGTGGAGGCACCAGCTCTGCGGTGGGCGGTGGCCCAGGGTGTCCCCGTGGAGGTGACGCCCTTGAGCACAGTGTTTCTCACGGTCGACAGGGAGTCCAGAGTCGGCGCCGCCTGCAGCAGCTGAGGGCTGATGGGCCTCCGGGGCCTCCCGTCTTGGCGCGTCTTGTTCCGACTGTGTTAACAGCGCAGCCTCTCAGTTCTGGGAGGTAAACCGTGAACCGTTAAGAGCAACGCGGATTTATTGTTTCTCTAACGGCTGGGTTGTGGAGCTCCCTGCACCTGGGACCAGGCCTCACGCCCACACCGTTCTCCACAAAGGGCCAATTTCTCCAGCAACGAGCCAGAGGGAAAGGGGCCACGAGCAGGACGCAATGTGGCTCGTTCTTGAAAAGTCAACACGCTCCGTTTCTGCTCTTGAGGGAGAACACATATCATACAAAATTGACCATTTTTAAGTGCGTTCAGTGGCATTAAGCACATTCACAATGTTGTTCAACCATCCCGACCGTCCACCCCCAGAGCTTTCCGTCTTCCCAAACTGAAGCTCTGTCCCCACTGAACACCGAGTCCCGGTCCCCCAGCCCCTGGCACCCGTCCTTCTACTTCCCGTCTCTGGGTCCCTCATGTAAGTGGAATCCTGCGGGATCTGTCCTCCTGTGTCCAGCTCATTTCACTGAGCACAGTGTCCTCCAGGCTCACCCACAGTGTAGCATGGACCAGAGCTTCCTTCCTTTTTCCGACAGAATAGGTTTCCTCTGTGTGGATGGACACCACCCTATGAGTTCAGGTTTCCTATTCACCCGGGTGTGGGATCAGAGGCCGTGCTGGAGTCCAATCCCACTCGAGGGGCGTTGGCATGTACACTGGGCGAGTGCCTGGACTGGGACACAATCGCTTCCAGACACATCTCAGTTCAGGGCACCCTCGGGCCAGCATGGGCGGCAAACTCCCTGGTCTCCCCCCGGCCCTGCTCCCTCTGGGTCCAGAGCCCCAGGCCCTCCGC